TATACTCCTGCTGTGATGAGCTTCTCGCCCCTGCCTCTTTCTTGCTTCGCAAAGCTCCTTTTGTGACATATGTATGCTGTATCTTCAGAGTGTTGGAAGAGCTTACTTTGCTTTTTAGGACTAGGTGTCTGAATATTTTATTTATTTTCTCTTTAAGCTTTTTCTAAGGCCCCCTTGGAGGCTTCTTGCAGCCTGGGATGACTGGCATGCCTCTTCCTAACACAGCTATGCATATAGGATGGCTTATCTATGTGCTTGCTATGGATGTTTGGCCCCAGTTTAAAAGAATGGATTCAAGCTTTCAGATTCACCCTGGGAGGGCAGGGAATGGAAGAGAGGAAGCTTCTATCCCCTGTGCTGCACAGGGGCCACGAGTGCTCACCCAGGGGTCAGTCACACATAGCTCTGCTGACCTGTCTCACAAGGCAATACAGCCAGTCACTGACAATATATTTATTTATTAGATGTATATCCCACCTTGTTTTCTTTTTTTGAAGAACTCAAAGGGGCTTACAGCATTCTCTTCCTTCTGTTCTCTGTCTTATCCCCACAACAAGAACCCTGTGAGATTGATTGGGCTGGGAGTCTGTGACTGGCCCAAAGTCACCCAGTTTGCTCCATGGGTAAGCGGGGACTAGAACCCAGATCTCCTGAGTCCCAGTCTTGTGCTCTTAACCACTTCATCACTCTGGTTTTTACTGCCACACAGGCTCTCAGCTTCCAGCTGTAGGGGTAGAGGGCATTATGAAGAACACCTGGGGACCTTGCCCCTCTTACCAGGCATCCCTGTAGCTCTTTCATACAAGGCATGCAGAACTCAGGCTGTTGGCTATACATGTCAGAAGACCCAACCTTGAAATGGAGTCATCTTGAGCAAAATGGTCCTGGGTTCCTAGGGTGGCTTGTGCATGGCTAACAGTCCATGCTTAAGCCATTAAGCTGGCCTCAGACAACACAAGAAGCTACTCTGAAGCATAAGAGTGACAACCCATGGTGGGCTGCCATTTTGTGCAATCCAGGTCAATGAATATTTGGACCCATGAAACAAGGCAAGTCAGTAGTTTCAGCACCATGGAAAGCTCCAAGTGAGCAACTTGCTCCAATAAAGGTGCCACCTTATGAGTTCCTCCATCCTGTCTATCTCTCTGAAGCTCCATGTTATGTCTTGACCAGAAGGTGGGTACTTCTCTCTTTTATGTTCTACCTGGTGTGTTTCTTTCTACCTGGTGTGTTCCTCTCTACCACATTTGCCCAATGGGCAAATGTGGTAGAGAGGAACTTAATTTCACTGGGGAATCAGGGTTGGGGTTGGGGGAAAAACACCCATGAAGGATCTGGCTGGACTTCCAGACAGTGTTACCATTGACTTCAGGTTTAACATCAGGAACCCAGTCTAGTCCGTTAGTGGGGGTAGCAGTCCTGAACTTATCCATCTCATCCTACCTGACTCTTAGCTCAAGGCTGGACTGGGGCACCTTATGTGTCACTTGGGCTTGTAGGAGCCTTCAGTTGATTCATTGATCACCACACGGCAGTAGTTAATTCATGGCACACAACTTGGGAACTACTGCTCTATTCCATCCCTTTGCTTCTGAATTTTCAGTCAGCTTACATCAAGTTGTATGGGATTCCTATCTTGAGTTAGACAAGAGATTCTTACTGCTTGACTTGTGTGGTCCTGTCCTCTCCCCGCCCCCCTTGCCTGTAGCATAAATTGCCATCTCAAGGAGATAATTTCACCTCATTCTTTAGCCAAGAAATTAATCTACATATGATTCAAGTGCCGTGACATTGCTCTCTTTCATGTTGGCTCAACATAGTGGGGAAGGACTGTAGATGCTGAGGGAACCCTTTCGGGGATTCAAGATGCCAGGAAACATAGTGGCGGTGGAAGAGACATCTGGCAGAGTCCTTCCTTATGAACCGTCTACCCCAAATGGTGCCTGCAGGCGATGAGTGCCAGATGGTGAACAACGTAACTGATTCTGACACTTCTCTTCCTGTGGCATGCAAAGGTTAATTCATTTAAGATCAATGTTATCCTTCTCCATCAGATTCCTTTGCTTAAAAGCTTCACCTCCTTGCTTTAGAGCCCGGTAGCAAAAGTCCTCACAACAGCAGCCCAGTTACTTAGCATTTTCCTCATTAAGCAATTCAGATGAAGGTCAACCCTTACCAGTGCTTTACCTGATGCTCTTATAGATCTGCAAACAGCTGAGTCATATGAGACACCTGCACTTCAACTATCTGCAGCATGACATGCCAGACATGAATCTTTGATTGTGCTCATCTTTAAAAGGCCTTGCTACAATACCTGGGTACAAGCTCGGGGCTTTCAGGTGCTCAGTTTTCCCTGTGAAATTTCTCTAGAGAGGCCATTCACAAGGCCAAATTAGAAAAGGGGGCTGAGTATGCACAGGATGCTGGCTGAATCACAATCATGATGTTTTGACCCAATTAAAGCACAAAGCCATCCGTTCAAAACTCCAAACACCATTCAGCTACTTCACAACTCAGCTCAATCACCAATCAATCACTAAGCTCATTCTTGTCTGCTGTAAATCAGGCCTAGACTGTTCTGTCTAGAAGGGAAACTGACCTTGAGAAGCATTGTTGACCAGTCCATTGGACAAACAGTGCATGTGACCCCAACCAGTGGCCCTGGAAGAACTGTTAGGAAAGAAACACGGGAATATCCTATCATTGCTGCAGGTGAAAGCTGGCTATTTATGAACCCACAGACCCGTTCACTCAGCTAACTGTCAAATGAATTATAGCAGCCTCTCATCAGCCTTGAGCTTCATTAATTTGTTGCTGATGTGACATTAGGTGGAACCCATATAGCTCCCTGAAACTGGAAAGGATTATTAATATATTCACTGCTGAGTTTTGTTGGTCCTTTGTCTTTTAATGTCATTGTTTTCTGACCCAGACATCAGCTGAGGAGGAGTTTGCTTGTATTGACTACTCAGAAATACCTTTCTTTGAAAATATGAAATTCAAAAGCCAGGGAACTTGTTCCATGTGCTGTTACACAAACATATATTATCATGAGAGAGAGCGAATGCAGATATGGTCAACTTTACCTACAATATTCAGCAAATTAAATTCATAAGAATTTACATGCTTGTATCCACCAAAATTTCACCTAGAATAGTTTTGCCTCTATCATGCTGGCTAGGCTAGATTGGAATTGAAGTCCAAAACATCTGGAATGCACCAGATTGGGGAATGCTTACACAGGGTTTTGTAAACTGTGTTTTTGGGCTGGAAATTCTGCAGAGGAATGTCTGGTTTTTTGCCTTGTGCCCCTCCCACCCATGCTAAGTAGCTGGTGCAGGGTGCCACTTTTCACAAATGGTCAGGGTGACACTGAGTACTATCGTAGGAAATACGTAGGAATACATAGAAATACATAGGTACTATCGTAGGAAATACAAATGGCAGCTGCTAGGTACACGTTAACGCCACCAGATGAGTGTATGCTAATGCAGGGGAGAGAGCACAGTGTGAAAAGCATCTTAGATTTGCAAGAGCCCTGCCTGGAAGAGTCAGGAATGCCTTAGAAATTTCTCAGAAGTTGTTCAGAGAGAATATTGTTAAGCATAGAAAAGCTGAAAGATATTTTGTCCACTATGGCTGATATTTTCCTGCAATTTGCATTCATAGGTTGACTATGATCACTGATCCATTCAGCTCTTCATGATTTATATGGGCTGGTAGTGGCTATTTGGGGGTTTCAGATGGGAATATTTTTGCAGCCTTACTCGGAAAATCTGGGGATTGAATCTGGGACCTTCTTCATGTAAATTCTATACTGCAGTGGTCATGAGCTCAGATCCTTTCTCCTCATTCAGATTACAGTGTACAGCACTAAGCATGCCTACAGGTAAGGAACAGTTTAGCAAAAGAGCAAGCATGTATGGGAGATCTTCCTCATATATCTGAGCTGAAAATGTGCCTTAACATAGTTATCTCTTCTTTCATCGCACAGTTGAGGTTCACACTGTGCTAATCAAACCTATGAGAAGGAACAGCTTTCCTGAAAGGTTGCACAGGTTATTTCAAACACTTTTAATAAAGCAATGAAGTCTGAGCCAAACCACAGAACACATCATTACAGGAGTTATCCAGTTAAGTGCCTTTCTCCTGCCACTTTATATATCTTTTTTCTTATATCTTAAGCAATGCAAGGGCCATACATGTTATTGAATTGTCATGTCTTAAATAGTCAGGTATTCAAGTAAAGAGGATTTGCAGTGGGGCAAATCTAAGTGGGAAGGAGAGGGGAATTTTGCCTTTCTTCTGGTGGATTAAAAAAAAAATCAATTCCCATTGAAAACAATGGGATATAATCCACCAGCCTGAGCTAGCATACACTGGGATCAGGTATATGTTGGAAGAATGTGGATTTTTGGATCTAGTGAATCCAAAGGTACCTCTTCTGCATTCCTATAACATGCCAAGAATCACTTTACTTCTGGAAGAAACACCACCAATGGTACTCCTACACTTCGGGAGTTTTCTATGGCCATCATGGAAGCCCCAGGATGGATGGGCCACTGAAAGTCAACAGAGAAGTCCTAACCTCAACCAGCCTTCGTGGAGGTTAGGACCACTCTCCAATATTTCCTGAAAAATCCACATCTTGGAGCATCACTTCCTCCGAAAACCATCTCCATCATTACCACCATTACCATCATTTTCTTCCATCCCATCCAACAGCCAAGCTCTCTGGGAGGTTCTCAACAATTAAATCTGGTAAGTACTTATGGGAAAAGTTACACTTTGTACACCATATATAAATGCAGAAAAATAAGGTTATCATCACAAATGACATTGTACCTTGCACTGGAACAAACCCATGACTTCTCCACACTAAGCATGAAATCATTGCTTGTAAAAACAGCCCTTTGTCTCTATTACAGAAGATGTCCACCAGGGGGACCCTTTGGACTGTGACAATTATGCCAAGTCTACAGATCTGGAGGCTGTATTACCTGTGAATCCAACAGGACAGTTGCAAACATAACCAGATGCTCTACGGTAGCTGAATTCTGAAGGCAGTTCTGGAATCCTTCCATACCAGTTTGACCATGACAGTTCCACACACACGCTCCCCTGGAGGCAAGGATTGCTGCTGCACTCATTCATGTCAATTTCACAGCGAGATCCCATATAGCCTGTGTGATTGAAAACAAGAAAGGGCATTATAAATTTAGGATCATCACTGTATTGGATTTGGGCTTGCAATAGGAAAGCAACTTGATTTCCCACCAAAGGTATACTGCAGAAGATTTGGTTTTATATTTTTCTAGTGAATGTACTGGAAGCAAAAAATGATGAAATGGAAGTTGTCATAGTTTGGGTTTATCATGAGAAGGCAAGACTCACTGGATATTCTAGGGAATCACACTAGGGAAAGTCAGGAAGCAGAAGAAGAAGAGGGAGGCCAACTATGGATAGATGGATTGCATAAAAGAAGCCACAGCCTTGAGTTTACAAGAGCTGGGCAGGACTGTCAAGGACAGGATATTTTTGAGATGTCTTTTAAAGGGATGCCAGAAGTCTGAGACAACTTGACGGCATGTAGCAACATCAACAGTGAACAGACCGGGCTTTGCGTGGTTTGGAATGGCCCTTAGTTTGGATCCAACAAAAACTTTCAGCAAATTTGAGAGACCAGGAGCATGACGTCATCTCTGTCTGGGTAAAGCCATACCTGCTGGCCCTGAGAGGTACAGTCCTGACTGGTCTATCCCACATTTCGGGAAGTTCCTGTCTTTTCCATTCCCCTGACTAGGCAGTTCCCCTAGGACAGGAATATAACACGGTCTCCCAGCCTTCTGACCAACCCTGCCTTTGGACTGAATAGACTGTAATGCTATATGCAGTTTAGGAAAGTCTCACCTCGTGGCTGAAAATATTACTGCAAGCTCCAACCACACGAACATGTTAACATACACTGATGTCTTAAAAACAAAATAACCCTGAAATGCTTATCGATATGGTCTGCTTACTATGTATGCCCACATAGCTATGTTTCATGGTCTTGACACTAGGAATGGACAGACAGACAAATAGATTACTGGAGATACTAATAGTAATGCTACTATTACTACCGATGAGAAAAAAGGAGTTGGATATGAACTATTTGGTTTCAGTCAGGCAGAAACATGGACTCAACTGGTAAATCACAGTCTCACAGTCTATAGGCAACCTAAACTTGTTTCTCGGGTGCATATTTGCAGAGGAAGTGAGTACAGGGCAGTCTGCAGGAATTCTTTGCCATGTGCAAAGAAGCCACAAATAATGGTACACAGGATGGAATTTGCCATTCAGAGAATGAGAGTTTCTTCTTAAAAGCAAAGCAAAGCAAAGCAAAGCAAAGCAAAGCAAAGCAAAGCAAAGCAAAGCAAAGCAAAGCGCCAAGATTCTAGCCCTTGTGACAACAAATTTTTGACAATGCCTTGTAAACACTAGGATAGGGTTCCCTGGGGTAGGATTAAGTCAGGAAAGGAGAACTAGGACCCTGCATAGCTCATTCCCTCTTTCCATCATTAGCAGAAATAGAATAAATAATGCATAGTAAGCCAACATATGAAAATATGTTGTATTTGCATAATTTATAAAGGTCAAACATTCAGCATATTTTGTACAGAATTTAGGTTGCTCCAATACATCATTTTAAATTTCCAGTTACTTTATCTTTTGCCAACAGCATGCCCAGCTGTCATAGGGATGGGTGCTTGTGAGAAAATACAGCACTCCAGAACTCACCTGGCCAGCAGTGGCAGATGAAACTCTCCGCTCTGTCCTCACAGGTAGCATTGTTATGGCATGGCTGCGACCAGCAGAGAGGAACTAGCATTTCACAGTGCAGACCCATAAAGCCGCTGTCTGTGCAGTTGCAGCTGTACCTGCATTGGAACAGAGAATCAAAACAAGCATGAGCCTTCCTTCTATAGCCACCACAGATGGGTCTTCAAGAGTTGTGCTCTCTTCTTTGTCTGGTGCAAAGCGCTTTTGCTTCTACTCTTTCTTTCCTGTCCTTTGCTTTAATTTAACAAATTGGTTCTATGCTCTCCTTGCTCAGGCCTTCCCTGGCTTGAAGGGTCCTTTCATACTGTATTTCTTAGAAAGGGTCCTTTCTATGATTCTACAATTCTATGCTTGGCTGCCTCTTCTGCCCACTTTGCATTGAGCCTTAGCCGTTGGGCAGCTCAATATCCATGAATGAAGAAGGGGATTGTCATGGCATTCCTTTTCCTCTTGCAAAGCACCTAGTCCTCCTCCACGCCATTTTTCTCCTGAGAACAACCCTGTGAGGTAGGTTAGGTGAGGAGTGAGCGATTGACCCCTAGTTACCCAGTAATCTTCATGGCCAAGTGAGGACTACAATCAGGGTTCCCAATTCCCCAAGTCCAACCCTTTCCATCATGCCAACTGGCTCTCAGGAAGGTAGGCTCTGCCCAACCAATGTGTCTTAGAAGGTGCCGGAGTCCTCTGGGGATGGTCTAATGAAAGCATGGGGACCCTTTTTAATGTCAGTGGCCTTATCACTTGGGAGATGTTCTGTTGGGGTCTGCAGGCTGGTGGTGAACATGGCTGGACCCAGTGGAGGTCCACCTTGGTCACCCCGCCCTGCTATGCCTCCTTTTTCTTATTAGCCTTGTTGTGTTGTTGCGTCCACAGTCAACCGGCTGGTAAGTGAAGGCCCACGGCTTCTTGTCATGTGTGAACAAGCCCAAGGAGGATGGATTGTTGGGGTGGTTGATGAACCACCCAGAACCCGTTGGCTGTTTCAGGGTTGTGGTTGACTGGACAACCACTCGAACAACCCACGCTTGCTGGATCCACATGTAACAAGAAGGAATGGCATGCCCCCACTGTAAGCTGCATGTTCAAAATGGCGGCGGCAGCTGCAATGAAGGACCACAGGGAAGATCACTCATTGTGGCTTCTCTTTTGGTGCAACACCTACCATGCCTTCTTCTCATCTTCTTTTTCTTCCTGCCCATCCTGGAAGATGTTGGTGAAGGGACAGGTTGTTCTTGTCGGGGCCTGGCCTTATCAACTCACAGAGGGCTTTTGAAATGGAAGCCAACATGGGGCCTAGGTTGCTCCCTTACACACACACACACACACACACACACACACACACACACACACACACACAGACTTATTATCCAAAGGTATTGAAGGGCTGAAAAGAGCTTTTATCTCTTTCCTGTGCTATTGACTATTTTTGTATTGATTTCCCATCCAAGATTTCACTTTAGTTTTCCTTTCGTTTAATATTCTCCAGCGCATTTCAAAAGCCTCCAGGGTTTTCTCTCTCTCTCTTCCACTTTATGTATCATCCAGTGCTTCACATTCACACTGAGCTGAACATTTTATGTATCTTTTCAAGTTCATATATTTTTCAATATTAAGAAATGGTCTCAGACCGAGTCAAAGTGATGGTCCATCTGCCTCTGTGTTATCTGCACAGACTGGCAGAGGGTCTCCAGGGCTTTAGACAGAAGCCTTGTCAGCCCTGCCTGCCAATGTTGGGGATACAGCTTCAGAATGTGATTCTGATTGTTTTTACTGCCCCAAAGCCCTCTATGAACACCTGAATCAGGCTATTGGTACATAAAGTCTGGTGGTGCCAAAGCTGAAAAGCAGTGGCTTCTAGCAATCGAAGCACAGAGTTTTCCCAGCTCTGCTTAGATTCTTTCAAATAGAGATGGAAGAAATGGATCCTGCAACATTAAACATGCAAAACTACTTAGCCATTCCCCTTCTCCATCTATCCACCCACGAAAAGAGAGAGGAAAACAGAGAAAGAATGCACTACATTTTGGAAGGGAAGTTTATATACAGTGCATCACTGAGAAGGCATGCTCCTTTTTCTAGACTTGAAATTAATTTTGCTTCAAGTTTGACAGCTCAGTTGATTTCCAAACGTGCAGATTCCAATGCTCATTCTCATTTTCCACAATTCATGTTTACACACCTGATACTGCATTTGTTCCCACCTGCTATGACATTTCATGATATTTTTCATTTATGTATTTATTTCACTTCTATACTGTTCAATAGCCCATCCTGATAAAGGAATAGGTTCATCACAACATTGTCCAGATGAGAGTCTCTGCAAAAGGACACCCAGAGCGTTCCTGGCACTGCAACATTTGCATTTCACTTTAGCTAATGAGAGCAATTGCCATCAAGGCAATTATTTCAATGGACAGCTTTATTGGTGCACTTTACACACTGGTATAACTAATGATTGTGATTCAGTTCAAGCAGAATAGGGAGTTCTGGCTCAATGTGGCATCTGTTCGCTTGCGATAGGAGAAGTTAGCGGTTTGCGTGTGGCAGGTTTATATTCCAGGCTTGACTTTTTCAAATGGTCCAGCTAGTGAAGCCATAATTTCTGAGGCCATTGAGAACCACCCACAAGGGGGTGACAGCATCAGCCAGTTCAGGAGATCCCGGGGTTTGCAGGAAAAAGCAAACAGGAATCCTTCTGAGGAAGAATCCTCTAGGAAATTGCCTAAGCAGCCTAAGAAGGACTGAGCATACTTGGCAACCACTGAACACGCTCTGCTTGCGGGGTGCTGGGAATAGAAAACTGGCGAACCAGGAGAATGGGAAGAAATGCTTGGATTCCTAATCAGGCACATGGCATGTTGTGACACATGATACAGTGTGGCATGTGGTGGGTGGTGACACGGGATACGTGATACACAGTGACTTGTCATAGGTAGTGATCCGTAATACTCCACGATATGTCACGGTATATGATATGTCATAGCATGTGATATGTCATGATATTTGGCACATGACATGGGGCGACACACAGCACATGGCACGCCATGATATATTGCGCTACGTCATGGCACATGACACACCATGAATCGCGATACATTGCGATGCACCCTGATCCACTGTGATATGTCATCTCATGCGATGCCACATCGTTGCAAGTGACGATAGACCATGACATATCACGGCATGTGATACATCCTGACACGCCGTATGTGGTGATCCTGGGCAATACAGGACTTGTCACGACATGAGGCATGTGACGTGGGCTATGGTGTGAGAAGCCATGGCATGTGATATGCCATGGAATGCCATTTGTCACGATAGGCCCAGACATGCTGTGACACTCAGCGACTCACGATGGCGCATGTGGTGATACGTAGCAAGCGATATGCTGCGATATGCCATGGGTCCCATGGTTGCTCTCACAGTCAGGAAGGACTTCCTGATGTTCAGCCGGAACCTGGTTCCCCGCGACATGAGCCTGTTATTCTGCGTCCTGCACTCTGGGATGATCAAGGTGCAATCCTGGCCTTCCTCTTCATGACAGGCAGAGGAAAATCTGAATTAGGTCTCAGAAGATTAATTAAGATTAAGATTAATTAATACTCAGGCATACTTCTAAGTCTCCCTGTACATCCCGGTTGGAATCAATGATCAAATGGTAAACAAAACTGGTGCTACTGGTAAACAAAATCAAGACCTTGATATTTCCATCCTACTTAAAGGAAAGGTGGTTTCAGATTACTGGGTTACAGGAAACATGTGCCTTCCATCAAAAATGAGCGCACATACCCATTGACAGCATCTACGCACTGTCCCCCGTTGAGACAGGGCTGACTTGCACACTCATCAGTGTTGATGGCACAGAGATCACCGAGGAATCCAAGTGGGCAGGAGCAGTAGTAGCCCCCAAGACTGTCATGACAGGTTCCACCGTTCAGACAAGGCTGGGACAAACACTCGTCGATTTCCAACTCACAGTTGACACCTGTAAAGAAAGCTAAGTACAGTATGAAGCTGGAATGCACGTCCAAAGTGCCTGTTCTGGAAGGACGTGTGGATTTATTTGCAGGTTTCTGCAAGAGGCAACAGTTTTCTGGTTCTCGGATGCTACAATTATTAGTAGAACAATCATTCTTTTTCGGAGCTGTGGGGGCAGAGATGCAGGTGTCCAGGGGCCACTGCAAACCAAAAAAGACAGACAGACAGACAGGCAGGCAGGCAGGCAGGCAGGCAGGCAGAGGGGGGAGGGAGAGAGGGAGGGAATACATCCTGCTAAAGAATGCCAAAAACAGTTCTGTTCTCCTCCCGCATTTCAGTGTGGCTCTGGCATTTTCTTATTCCCTTAGGGCACAATCCTATGCATATTGAAACTTTCAAAAACCCTCCTACAATTCCTGTTTGTCAGAATAGTAAGATTATAGGACTTTGCCTAAGGTTAGTGTGCGCGTGTGCAGGGGCACACGCACGTATGGTGCTGAATCAGTGGAGAAGTGTGAAAAGAGGTGGTGCTTCAGTGCAATGCTACAGGCGTTATTCATTTCACTTCGTTTCTATACCACCTCACGGTCAAAGCTCTTTTACTACTCATGTACTACTACTTTCTCTCTTAGTCCATTACGCCTCTCAGGACTAAGTCCTGTTGCATTCGGTGAGATTTGCTCCATAGCACATATGTTTAGGACTTCAGCCTAAGCCTTTAGAACTGCAGCCTAAATGTGTTTAGGATTGTTGCCTAAATCTGGACCAAGGATGCCTGTGCTGAAAGGAAGGAAACTCCAAAGTTCTAATAGGATGCTTGTAAACTGACCAAAGGAAGGGCTGAAACATCATTTGTGATTAAGAAACTGCTTTGGAAAGACCCTTTTAAAATTAGCATCCATTATTTCTTTGCTGAGGCTGTTATCAGCTCTGACTCCCAAACTGATGCGGGCTTGTCTCAGAGGTCCTGGCCTGTTGCACTAAGAAATCTCAGTGGTTCCTGTTTTCGCAGAAAGTCTAGATGGAGGCCAAAAGTTCAAGCATCTCCACCACTTCTTTTCTGGAACTGCAGGCTGAGGTACTGCTCCAGGGAAGCAAGTCCAATGGAAATCAGTGGGGCCTGATTTGACGAAAGCCTGTTTAAGGTCAGGATACCCATTTGGTGTGCCTTATAAAATGGTCTAATTTGGAAGATCCACCCATAGCTGCTTCACAGAGCACACTGGAATTTTGATTGTCTAGTGAAAGTGGAAAAGCAGAGAAACCATTGAAGACTTGCATTGTTTCCAACAAGCAAACTAATTATTAGGACCATAGGAAGCGCCCGTAGCAGTGTCCATCTAGGGCTGATTGCACTAAAGGGCAGCAACCTTCCAGCAGGGCCAGCCCCAGACGTTTTGCTGCCTGACGTGAAGAGCACAGCGGAGCTCCTCCATCCAAGCGCTGACGCTCCAGCAAGAGCCGCAGGCGTGCAGCAAAGTCAGTAGCGAGCAAGCTGGACCGAGGATCTGAGTCGGCACAAGGCAGCTGCCTGCGAAGAACTGCTGAAGTAAGATTCAGCTCCCCGGGCACTGGCTATTACTCACCCTCCTAAATTGCTGTTGCTCTGCATGGAGTCTGAGATGCTGGCCGATTAATCCTTCTTGTGCTGTGTTTGTTTCCCTGATGTGCGCTGCCCTTTTCGGTGACCTTGGCTGGGCTGAGCCTGTTAGGTAGACTGCCGTCTCTTGCCCTCGCATCAGTGCAGCTCAGCTGGGGCACGGATAACAGGGGAAGGTGCTCCTGGCTGGGCACAGGGGTCTCTTCACTGTGCCACCTTGGTTTATGGGGAGTGTGGCCGTGAATGCCCAACAGCAGCTGCTCAGTACTGCTCTGGCTGCATTGGAAAGGATCCTCAGGTCCGTCCGTCCTTTCTTCTTTGAGTTGATGCTTTCACTGACAAGCTCAAGAGCACTTTGTTTTCCCCTCCTGTGGTCATACTGGTCCCACTCATGCCTCTTCTGTATAGCCTGATCCTGCCTAAACTGGGAAGCTAAGCAGGGTCAGGGCTGGTTAGAATCTGGATGGGAGACCTGAGTCCTGCAGTGAGAAGACACTTGGACCCAATGGCCTCCTAGGTCCTTTCAACTGGATATTCTTTGTTTCCAATTGCTCTAGTACGCTGCACAATTATAGCGGCTCCCTTGAGCTGCTTTGACATCTTCTGTCCACCAGCACAGCAGAGGTGACAATTAATCTCTTGCTTTCACTCTCTCATTCTCATTTACAAAGACACTGAAGTGACTGTAGCTCTAGGCAGCCTTTTCCAGCTTGGTGCCCACCCATTGGCCTTTGCCATCATGACCAATTCCCCAGAACGCTGGCAGTTGTGATGCAAAATACCCTGAAGCATCAGTTTGGGGAAGGACACTCTAAGAACAGTAGGGGCTGGGTATCTCCAATCCAGTGGTGAAGCCCACACTTAGCATGCAGGTAGGGCTGGGAAAGACCCTGGAAAGCTGTTACCAGATGCTGTTGATTCACATTTCCCCTCCAAGTGTGTTGTCCTTCAATTCCAGTCAGCTCTGCCGGCCAGGAACCTAACACAATCTTGTAATAGGGAGGAGCTTCCTGTTTTGCTTCCTGTTTGGAGGATGGTGGGAGTTCTAGTCCAAAACACATGGGGTCCCAAATTGGGGAAGGCTGCTGTAGTGGACAATACTGAACTACATGGACCATGGATCTGTCTCAATACAAGATAGTTCCCTATGCTCCTGAGGCCTCTGGGCAATGCTGTAAATGGGCTGCGGACCTGGGGAATAAAGCATGGTGCAACCTGCTGGCTGCAAGGAAGTGGCAGCTGATGAAAGCCACAGAGCCACCACCGAGGTATATTTTTTAAGAAGGTGTTAATCAATACCAGGTGATTCTGCCTCAGGATTCACTGATATAGCTAGCCAATGACTTCCACAGACAGGCTGGATTCATACAACTCAACATGGTGGTTTCTTGCAGAGATTGTCTGTTTTGTTGTCTGAACTCTGCCATGGTATTTCAGTACAGCATGGATGGTTTTTAGAAACCACAGTAAGAAACAATGGCCTGTTCTATGGTTTCTACACTTCACTCTGGTTTCTCTGGTTGTCCAAACCAAGCTTTGTGGTCTACATGGTCCTCCATGCAGCTACCACAGAGTCCCATGGAAAGAGTGGCAGCAGCTGCAGGAGCTGCTCTAGCCATCCAGGGTGGGACTAAGTTTTAAGCATGGAGGCCTATGGGAGATGTGCCAACAGCAGGAAGACCGAGCAAGCAGGAAGACCACGCTAGTGTGGAAGCCACTTAATTGTCTGTCAGGCACATCCAGGCAAAAAAATGCACCATGGAAATGTGCACAGGGTTCCTTGTTATGACATATGAACCCCTCCCGTCAGCTGTCAATATGGTCTTACCCTTTTCCCTTTTTCCCTTTGTCAGGTAGGGCTCATCAGCTTGGGCTACACTGGCCAAGCACAGCGGAGTGAATGTAACATCACATTTGCCACTGGCCAATCACATTGCCTTAGTCTGCCATTCAGAGAATGGAGCGGTACTTTCCTGGAGGGACGGCATCACTGTGGCCCATTACATTTGCATGGCTCCGCTGCTTCTGTTGTGAACGTGATGGGTGTATATGAAGTACCACGAACACTGCTGCACACAAGCTCTGGTTTGATGCTCCAAGATCCAGGAACAACTCTGGGGCTTGTGCATCCTGCCCCCTAAAATTGCCTCTCGTGCATCCAGCCCCAGAGAATGAGCTGTTTGAACTGACTTGTGTGCATGCATCTGTAAGCATGCTCATTCCTCCTGCCTAAGCAGTCCAATCTTTTTTTCCCATGGTGGATGGATATTGATTAGCATATGCAACATATTCCATGCATGGAGGACAGCTGAAGTTAGGAAGTAAATCCCACGGTATGCTGCTGGTCCACCTATATGTTGGTCCACGGTGTGAACCTGCATTGAGACTAAAAAGTAGCAGGCATTACACTGAATAGCATCGAGCAAAGCTCAGTGGGTTTCGCTCTATGAATTCATCATACGTAATTGTGAAGCACATGCAGACACACACACAAAGTGTGCATTTGCCAAACTATGTCTAGTGACCGTAAATCTGTCAGGGCTTGTTAACAGCAGCTCTTTGTAAAGATTTGAGAACACAGGGACAAAAATAAATGCAGTGTGTCTCAGAGTCTCAGCATAGCCAGATTCAAAACTACGGGCCAAAAAACAGCCTGATTATTAACATGAAACCACAGGATTTGCTAAGTTGGATCAGGCCATTGGTCTGTCAAATCAAGTCACCTGCCCTAGGCAACGGAGCGAAAAGTCCTTTCCATCTATAAAATGTCTAGCCAATGTGATCCCTCTGGTCTCTACAGCTGCAATCAACTTGCAAAAACATGCACGAGACATGGCAGAGGAGGAGGAAGAGGTACAGATATATATATTTGTGTTGGCATCTGCATACAAAGCCCTGCCATAAATAAAAGTGATTCTAGGAAACACATAAAAAATCCTGCATTTATATTCCTCAAAATTAACACAGAAAACTCCAGTTTAGTCATTCTTTTCATGTCTCCTGTTGAGCAGGAGTATCCTGAATTAAAGAAAAAGGAATGTGCTAAAGTTTAAGATGCAGAGTTGTCCAGTAAGTAGATGATTTGGATGGATATCACTTGGAAATTGAATGGTGGCAATGAAGGAAAATGGATCTGTTCCCCATGTGGGCAACACTCCTTGGAAATATTGTTTTCTTTCTGCCTCAGTTTCCCATCTTCAATAGCCTGCCCCACGGGGGTCATGTGAGGAGATGACCATAATGAAAAAAGATTGTTACTCTTGGGGATAGGATATATCTCTATTAAAATACAGGCAGTCCTCGAGTTATGAATGCCCGAATTATGAGAAACCCATACTTACAAACTGTCATAAAGTTTATTATTTTTTTAAATACTGCAGAAAAGTGTCATCACCATAGACAGAGAG